TTGGTTGCTCGAGATGATGGCTGTTTTCAAAAGAACTGCTATTTATTCCCTTGCCTGAACTTCTGTATTGCCAGCTGTATTTCAGCTATACTGCTGTAGCTGTATATATTGCTGAGAGATAGAGTGATAAATAATGCATGTATAAGGAACTGCTCGAAAAGGAAAATAAAGGAAGAATGAAAATGAAGCCGGATGTGATGCCCTCTGTTAGGTTTTGCAGACTATAAGCAATTGGCAAAGAATTAGATCAATGGATCTGCTGTTCTGAGATGCTGAAGTTGTCCTTCATAGACAGTGGTCCATACCAGTTGAACAGGCTTGCAGAATAGACCAGCACCAAACAGCAACAAAATATTGGAGGAGATAAAGTAATGCAGGAAATCCTTTTTCTGTCCCAGGAGTGTTCTGTAAGGTACTTTTCTGGTTTGGAGCTAGAAGATGCAATTGGCCATTGACTTCAGGGACCGTTTGTGCTGAGCTTTGGATCTGTAGGTGTTGTTGCTGCTGGCAGGAAAGGTATTGCAGCTGTTTCGGTCTGGTATTGCAAGCTGGCTTTTCCGTAAGGCTGCTGAGTGCCCCCTGCACATGCAGGTGCTTGGACCAGGGCCTCTTCTGTGCTTGGTTGAAGCAAGCAGAAAGGCAAAAGCAGTTTCCAGAGAGCCTGCTCATGTGCTCCTTGCAGGATCTGTGGTTACAAGGCAGATTGTGTGGACAATCAGATTCACAGAATCACAGAATCACAGAATTGTAGGGGTTGGAAGGGACCTCCAGAGATCATCGAGTCCAACCTCCCTGCCAAAGCAGGTTCCCTACAGTAGGTCGCACAGGTCGGCATCCAGGCAGGTCTTGAACATCTCCAGAGAAGGAGACTCCACCACCTCCCTGGGCAGCCTGTTCCAGTGCTCCGTCACCTCACTGTAAAGAAGTTCTTGCGCACATTTGTGCGGAACTTCCTATGCTGCAGATCAGATTGAATCAGATCAATCAGATTGAAAGGCAAAAGAAAAGGTGGTGGTTTTGTGAATAGCTTATGTGCAGTAATAACAAGTAAACGGTTTTAAAAAAGAGAAAGATTTAATTTTGCTTTGGTGAATGGAACCTGAAGCCCTTAAGTTTTACAGCACAGCTCGGACCTGAAGACATTTCTGTATTTGTTTTGGTGTGGTTGTGATTGTTACGCAAATATATTTTGGGGTGAATGGACTTGGTTTTAGGTGACCTCGAGTGAGTGTTGGCGATCAGTTACTGAAGGAGGCATATGTTACTAATTTTTTTGAGCTTTATGAAAGAGAGCCCCACTTATGGTATATATAAATGGGCTTTCTTATCTCAGTAAAGTTAGCTGCTTGAGGGAGTATGCTCTGTAGGGCAGGGATACTGTGAGAATGGATTTCAGCGGTGATCAAATAGGTTTTATCTCGTGAAATCAACACTGCATGAAATTTTATTTTAGAATATTGATACTCTTTGCTGTGGGCCAGATGCAGCCCAGGCTGGCACAGCTAATTCACTTTGGCTATGCGCCAGCAGAGCATCCTATTTCAGCAAAGTGATTAAGCATGTGCTTATCTTTAAGCATACAGCTAAATCCTGGTGATTTCACTGCTTCTCTGTGTTGGGGCATCTCGACCAGGGGACAGGACAGCCACAAGGAGAGAGCTTGCAGTTCCACCTTCCTTTTTCAGGACTTCTCCTGTTTTGGAACTAGGTCTGTTATTAGAGAGGTGATAGGGTGACATAGGCTTTGGCTGGCCCTGGAGGGGTTTGGTGTCTCCAAATGATCCTGGCTGGCCCTGCTTCAGGCCGTGCTGTTCTTGGGCACATTGCTGGGGCTGTGGGTGAGAGTGGAGTTGAGCCACCCAGACAGCCCTCAGTCGGATAGTGCCCCCACGTGCTGCACTTGGGAGACTTCATCTTGGTGTGGAGGTGCTTGCCCTTCTTGCTATGGGAGGAAAGGTGATATTGGCTGCTCTGCCTTGCAAGAAGGCTGGCAAATGCTTGCAGGTAGATGCACAGCCTGCTTGGAGCTGTGTGCAGTGTGAGATGGCTTTGCAGTTGGTGCAGAGTCCATGTGTGCACTTTGCTTGCAGGCTGGGGCCTCTGTGCTGCAAGTGCTTGAGCTCCAGGTGAGCACAGCTCATCTTGTCTAGTGAGGAACCCCTTAAGAAGTTTGCTTTAGCAAATTAAAACCTATCCGTCCCTAAAATTATTTGTGGTGTTAGACGCTGAGAGCCTTTGTGGTTGGTCTGAGCTTTGTGCATCTGAGCAGACAGCAGGGCTCCATCCTCCTGAATGTGTGGGAGAAGGCGTAGGGCTGAAGGCTGTGAGATGCAGGAGGGAAGATCAGACACAGGAAAGGAAAAATCTGGGGATGCTGGTTCACCTCAGGGGTGTTTCAGTGCAAAGAAACAATTAGAATGTTTTGGAAAATAAGTTGCTTTTTCTATTTCGAAGTTCCCAGAAAAGCAAAACAACCTTCCCTTCCCTTCACTTTGAATCCCACCTGTTTTGTTTTTTTCCTAGAAAAAACCAACGTGAAATTCATTATCATGTGGTGAAGGCAATGTAGCGACGTCATCGTGATTTAAAATCTGTTTTAAATCTTAACATGATGGAGCCAGAATCCTAACTGCAAATAACCTTGCTTTTGTGGGTATAAGGCTGGCTGTCGACGTTATTTGAACATCTCTATTTTCAGTTGGTCAACATCCTTTGTAACAATATTATTTGAAAAGAAAGGTGGAGGAAGAAGGAAAGAGTTGGATGTTATCCATGCTAGAAGCCAAATGCAGCTCGCTTTGCTCAGAGATAGCTCTGGAGAGGAAAGCTAGCAGAGCTTGGTGCCCAGGGGAGCTGAGAGCACTGTTAACCTCATGCCATATCCTCAGCAGGCACTTGTGGTGCTCTTGCTTCTTGCTGTGCTGTTTTCTGACAGTGGGAGATATTGCTAAATATTAATTGTCTGATTCTTGCCCATCACTTGTGTCATCCTGCTGAATGTCTGTTTAGATACAGTATTTTCTGTAGTGCAGCCTGAGCGTTCAACTCCTGCGGTCTCCTACTGACAGTCAAAGAAGAGAGTTAAACTGGTTTCTTTCCTAGGACTTGGGATCCAAATATTGTAATCCTAGCATTTAATAAGGGCAGTGAAGGCGATCCTGTAACATCCCCGTGAACCTCATTGCTGCTGCCACTGTGTTGAATATAATGTTTTTGTTTGGGTTGCTTAGTGAAGGTCTGGTGCTAAGCAGCACTGCCTGCCTGAAGTTTTCCTCCTGCTGCTGATCTGTGTGTCTACTTGATAATTGGAAAAGCTAAAAAGTTCTTTTGAGGTTTCGATGTTCAGGGAGTATTTGACTACTTGGCTTCAAAGCATGCGCTGGTGTGAGACGACAGATGCAGGAGAATTAAGTGAAACTGTTCTGTCTGCCTTGGCCACTTGCTCCCCTCTCGCTCTTATGTGTTTGAGCCCAGAATGGACCTGTACAAGGATTTATTGACCCCTTTTCATTTGCGTTGCCAGCTTCATCCACACCCTAATATATCAGAACATCGTTGCTTTCAGGCAGGAAGGGCAAGCATGCTGTAGCTGGAATGTGTTAGGAACCGAAGCTGCAGCTCTGCTGGGAGTAAGTGCCATTCCTTTGCCAGTTCCAAACTAGGCTTCATGAAATTCCCATGTGATTCTTATTTTGTGGTGGAGTTCGTTTCTTACATGCAAATGGTGCACAGCATTAGAGCTTGTCAACAGGTTCGCTTTGACCATTATTTGTTGTGGTCAAATTAAAAATCACCTGCTGTGCAGCAGTGCCTTTTGGGTGCTGCTCAATCATCTTCTGCTGCTTTTGGTGTCTGAGTGATTTACTGTACTGTGATGGGAGTCTGCCACCAAAATATAATCCATTGGTTAGATGTGTATGGGCAGCATGGATGCAGTGCAGAAGCTCTGAGGGGCAGATTGTGGAGTGTTCTCTGGTCTTTTGTGCTGTTTGAGCATGAATTGCTTTTGGCTGTGTGCTGTTGGGCCTCCCAGCTGGGAGGGCCTTCTTAAGAGCATCTTGGTTGCCTCCTCCTCTGACCTTGGGCAAGCCAGGATGGGTCTGGAAGCAAAAGCAGGAATCCTGTTTCAGTGTTTCTTGGGAACCGTAAGTTAAGATTGGAAACAATATACCAGAGAAAGGCAGATGTGACTGAGAAAGTTTCTGGTAATGTTTTGAGGCTGTAGTTAACTAAGGTTAATTTAATCCATTGGCCAGAAAAAACAGAGGCAGAGGCTGAAGCGCCCGGAACCCTGCTGGTAATGGCCTGTCAGCTGGACACATCAGTTGGGCTCTTACTGCTTGCTCCAAGTGATCCCTCCCCAGGTTGGGCTGGACAGAGATGCAGCAATAGGCAGTCAGCAATGATCAGGCTTCACTTAAAGCCAAGCAGGCAACAAATTTGTGCTGAAGAGAGCCCACAAATACATGACACATTTATCTTTCTAGATTTTATGCCTGTCTGTAGCTAGAATCCAGTTCGCTAACGTCAGCATAAATAGGTTTTTCCCTTGACTTCTTCCCTGCCATTAATCCACACAGTTGCTGAAGGTGAAGCACAAATTCTCTGAAATTGAAGTGCCAGTCCCCTTTCTCCTATACATGTCCACGTAGCTTGATAGAGGCTATGAATATGCAAAAGCGAGCCTAATTTATGGCCAGCCTGGTTGACCAGGATTAAATCAAAGCAGGACCGAGCAGAAGTTTTTACTCAACCACCCCCTCATGCACAGTTTGATTGTAAAAACTCAGGTTTGGCTTACTCTCTAGAGCCAGCTCTGGGTAGAATTACATTTTGAGTGCCTGATACCACGGGCTCGGCTGTCAGATGAAGGCCAGCCAAATCCCAGTCATCTTGCACCATGTGCCCTTTGGCAGGTTGATGTGTAATCTTTCTATCTGAGATGCTTATTTTGTTTCATAGTCTGTTCTCTTTTCTTTTTCCCTCCCCACCACTTTCAGATGTTTGTTGCCGAGGAGAATGTAGATTTTCGGATACACGTGGAGAACCAAACACGAGCAAGAGACGACGTGAGCAGGAAGCAGCTCCGGCTCTATCAGCTGTACAGCAGGACAAGCGGGAAGCACATCCAAGTGCTGGGCAGGAGGATCAGCGCCAAAGGAGAAGACGGAGATAAATATGGTAAGAGTATTTACTGGGATCCCCCAGACTTCAGTTCAAAAGCTTTAATTCACTGTGTTGGCCTGAGAACCTCGTGGGAGAAAAATGAGAAGAGCAATAAAATGCAGAGGATCACAGGGAGAAAAAAAAAAAACAACCTTTTCAGATTAAGAACGTGGAATTTGCTGCGTTAGAGTGGGCTGTCAGCCCAGCTCCCAGCTGCGGGCTGTTCCAACCCGTGGTACTGGAGTGCCCCTGTTTCTGAGTGCATGATGGTGCTTGAAGACAAAAATCTTTCTCTGCCTAGCAGGTGAGCGTACAACTTTCCTCGTGTTATTTATGTGATATCAAAGTTGGTCACTTAGGATGTTCTTTCCTTATGAACTGTGGCCCTTGGCTTAGTGACTTGGAAACTGTGGTTGTGAACTGAGCTTGAGGGGTGGAAGAATCCCAGTGCTTGAGTGAAGCATCCTTTCATCTTTCTAGAGGAGAGTGTTTGGTTTGAGCTGAAATTAAGCAGACTTCAGAGCTTTAAGAGTGCTTAAGCTGAATCCTGAGGCACGTAGATCCTACAGGGGCACAAATAACTTACACAGGCTGGCAGTGCATTCAGTAATTTCCATCTTGATCTGCATACAAGCATCATGATAGAAGTGCTGGTTGGAGACTGAACTATAAAAAAATTTCCTCGTCTTTGTACACTGGGAGATGGCTTTGGCAGAGGCACTTTTGCTTGACTTTTTTTAGGCCTGATTCACGGTTGCTGGAAGGGTTTTAGGGCTGTTTTGAGAAATGGCCCTTTTTCCCTTACAGACACACAGTCCACAGGTGTTGCTGTGTGTGTGTGCAGATGTGTCAGCCAGCATGCACGTTCACATGAGGTTCACCTGACGTGCAGCAGAGGTGGAGGTGGGGTACGATTCGTCTCAGATGGAGTGCAGGTCAAAATGTGAGAACTATTATTCCATCAGCGGCCTTCGGACAAGTTGACGTACCATCCATGGTCATCATTTTGCTTGCTTTGGCAGGGGGTTGGACTTGATGATCTCTGGAGGTCCCTTCCAACCCCTACAGTTCTGTGCCCCTTTCGTTACAGAATCACAGAATTGTAGGGGTTGGAAGGGACCTCCAGAGATCATCTGCTGTGGCAGAAATATGTAGTTGTGCCACTGGAGGTGTTAGCTCAAAGGTAGCTGGCTGTTGTGAAATGAACCCCCAAGGCTGTCCGCCGACTCAACAGTCGCTCAGAAAAAGCCCTGCCCTGTGGGTTCATCAGCGTTTTCCTTTGTCATTCCAAAGTGTCCAGATGAAACAGCAGTGCAAAGTGCCACGTGGCTGCTAATTATTGTGTCATTTTATTGCATTCATCCTCTTAAGGTTTGATATGTAAACTAATCACTGTGTGTTAGCTGCTGGCGTCCCAGGAAGCGCTCTTGCCTGCAGTGAATGTCAGGTAACGTGATGCAGTTTTCTTCTCTGTGAAAGAAGGCAGCATTTACAGTGGGGTGCAGCAGGGAAGTGTGCCCGTGAGCAGCTGACAAGTGCTAATTTATGTGTCAAAGCCCATCTTGTCCCCTTCATACATATACAATAATGTCTGAACAACAAATCCTAGCGCAGGAGAGTGCTTGTGACCAGTGGAGAAGCTGCACAATCACAGAGCCTTACATTTCCAGTCTGAGGAGCTCTGTGGTGTGTGCATCGCTGCTTGCCACCAAATCCACTCTTCCGGTTGCTGGAATCCCTCTAAAAACCCGACGTGCTCTGACCATTGAGGCCATTTGCTAACACCCCTGCCTGCTCCCTCCCCCTCTCCTACTAATAAAACTCCTTGATGTGTCAAGCTGCAAAGCCTTCCCATTTCTAGCTCTGCTGAAAGGTTATGGAAATCTGTTCATCATCTTGCCTGGCACAGGAACACTTAGAGCATGATAATCGGGTAGACAGTGAGGTGGGGCATGAAGGTCCAGGATGTGACCATGCAGAGCTCCTAGCTGTGATAATGAAGGGGGGAGAGATGTCAGAGTTACTGAAGTGAGAACCATCTGTGTTACAGCCAAAACTGGATACAAAGGCAATGACACAGGATTCATTATGTGCTGGGAACCCCTCCCCCAGAGGCATTATTATGGAGTAACCTTTGATCGAGACCAGAGAGAGGCTTAAACCAGGTCCGGAGATCTGAACAGTTGTGAACTTTTGATCCAAATCTCAGTGCTGCTGGTCAGATCTGCCTCTGAAGGAGGACACCTTACCCTCTTAGGCAGCAGATGGCTGTTTTTCCTACTGCCCTTTTTCTCTTCTTTCCTCTTTTTCCTGCCTTTAAGTTGGCACAGTGAGTCAGAGCTTAGCATTTGGGAGTGCCTGGTTCCCACTTCTTTTCTTGGCTGCAGACGATGCAGTCTCCCACAGCTTTTCCCCTGTCTTAACCCAGTCCCCACGGAAAGGCGAGATCATGGTGGAGGTGATGTGAATTGATGTTGGAAGGATTACAGAGGCTGAGTGTCAGCCCAGGGAAGGCTTTGAGAGGACGAGCAGAAGCCAATATCTGAGAAAAGGCAACAGATGTGGGAAAAGGTGCCTGTGGAGGTGGAACGTGAGCTGGCTCCAGCCCTGCGTTCTCCTGCCTACTCCTTCCTGAACAGCATTTCAAACACGGGCAGGGCTATCTCAGAACGCCTCTGCTGGGCTCCAGCTCTGCAGTCATTGGGGACAGTTGTATCCGCTCAGGCACAAGTACAGGCCATGCAAAGAGGTGCCACATTGGAAAGCTGTGAGGTGCGAGTGTTACCGAGTGTGCTTCCAGCTCAAAGACTCACTGCTGCAGGGTGTCCGGACTGGGAGCAGGAGGCTTATCAGAGGTTAGGAGGTGGAGTGTGCAGCGGGCAAGAAGTTGTTTTCTTGGCTTTTCAAAATGATGCTGTGTCCTTCCAAGAACTCTGTCCCATTAAAGGGTGGTAATATTAGGCAAGGGCAGGGCAGCTCAGACTTGGTGTGGGGAGCAGGGATGACTCTGTTGAGAGAGAGACCATGGCTGTGGTTCGTAATGCGCATCATGAACGATAAGCACTAGTCAATTTTAAGGCTGGGGAGGCAGTAACATTTTAGCACCTCTTTCCCCCCTCCTCCCATACTTTTACAACTGGTTAAAGAACAGTGTGTCCAATTGAAGAGAGGCCTTTTATTTTTTGCACATATACAGCTTCCAAATGGCTGGCATGTGAGGGTTATTCTGCCTTTGAAGGAATGGAGAGTTGGTTAGTTTTATTGCAAGGTTTTATTGACTTCTGTAAAACTTCTCACCTCTTGGTTGAAGAGAATGCCCAGAAAAGAGGGGAAGTGACAAATCTCAGGCAGTGAATTGCTCGTTTCCAGGCAGCCATCACAAGTACAGCTAAATGACAAGCAGCAAGAGAGCGATCTGCAGGGCCAGGAGAAATCCAGCGTGAGGAAGGGCCCCTCAAATGTTTTATCTGGGCCTCCATGTCCCACAAATGAGGAAAAATGCAACTCTGTGATGCATAGTTTTATTGGCGTGATAATTTGGGTATGTGATGTTAGGTTTATGTGTTGTTCAGGGCCAAGATCTGGCCCCATATGTGGAATTATTAAATGGCAAATTAAGTCAGTTAATAGAATTAATTGAGTCGATGTAAACCTTTTAATCAGATAGATTTGGTCCTTTCTCAGATGAATTAGAATCCATTAACAGATAAGTCAATTATTGGACTAAATTAAATCTAATAATAATGCCTGCTGCTCACAGCTACTAATTAATCTAAATACACTTACCTATCTCCCAAGGTTGTGGGTTGTTTTTTTTTTTTTTAAAGGCTTAATTGATGTTCCTAAAGTGCTCTGAGATCTTTCAGATAACAGAAGGATCTATGTGAGCAAAATATTATCTCTTCGCAGACTATAAACTAATTAAAAGGCTGATCTATTTACAGATTGCAGGTTTACTTTAATCTCCTCGACCTATTCGGAAGAGTTTGCACTGGCTCAGAAAAACAATATTCCTGCTATAAGCTTATTATTACTTTACAGGTTCCTAAGTGGTCCTTTCATTCAGAAAATGAAAGGGGGAAGGAGAAAAAACAACCATTAAAGTGCTGACAAAAAAAGAAAAGGACCTGGAACCTTTATATTCTACCTCCGATAAATGGTACAGATAGGGAAGAGAGGGATCAGTGACCTGAAACCTTAGATCCTTTCATTTATTTTCATTTCACAAAAGGCAGAAGACATTCTATCCTGTTTGTTCGCTATCTTTGTATCCGGTGCAGTTGGTGAGAGAGCTCTCTTGGTTGGGTGAAGGCATTTTTTGCCTCATTTGTATTTCACAGCCATGTGATTTTTGTTTTAAAGTGTCTACCATTATCCTGAGGGGCAAAGCACAGTGATAGACATACAGACAGATGTGACGGACATTTGTGGGGTGTTTGAGCTCACCCTCCACTAACTCCATGGGGAGTTAGTTTTTATTTATGGCAAGTACTTGGCTGACCATGAGGCAAGGATGTGATATATGCAGGTGGGTTATCAGTTAGCCAACGCTGGGTCTATCCCAGGTAAAGAAATCTCTTGTAGTTTGTAAGGTGGGAGGCTTTCTCCGAGGATGTTCCACACAAGGGGCACAGCACGTAGGTGTGCTTTCTCTCCTTCTTGGCATCCTGTTGGCTCTCAATGTTCTTGGCTGCCCAGTTCCAGCAAGGTGCCCTCGAGAACTCCCTCTGATCTCGGTGGCGTTAAGCTCAGGACTCAACAAACACTCCCAGAACAGGTTTTCGGAGACATACAAAGCATGTGTTTGCTTACAGGGTCAGAAAATCTGGGATCAGGCAGCCCAAGAAGGAAAGCAAAGTCAAGAGGTATCGTGCATGATGAAAATGGATGTATCACAGGTGTTGGTGCTAACACATGCTCCATGCACGTGTCCTTTTTTGGTCAGCTCTCAAGCTCTGAAAGTTGCAGTTGGCAGCTACAAGCGTACAGGGGAAGCCAAGTGCTGGTGGAGGTGG